GAGCACCTCTCGTGTGATACAGCCGTTTGCGCTGTCGTCTGGTCTGTACAGTAGTCCTCAATGCCACATTGCATCTTCGCTGCAGCCTGCTCTACACATTTGCATTTAAATGAAATTCAATCTCCTCTGCTTTTTACTGTCATGCAGTAAGGCAGCACTGAACCTTACACACTCTGCATACTCTTTGTTCATTTCCTCCTGTTTTCTCCTTTTGTTTGTCCGTTTCCTGCATTGGCATGCGTGCGGGAATATAAATAGCTTATATTAAGTTCTGCGTATCTGTAGTCTGTGCTTCTGATGCACACTGGCTACAAGAATGGCATGAGCATTCTTAAGATAGCAAGCTTTGATCTGATTGGCTGGCTGTACTGCAAAAGTTTACAAGGGCTGCTAATTATTGCCTGCAAGGAACTTTTCTAGTCAAAATGCTACAATCAAAGGTCTGTACAAACTTTTGATTATAAATCATTTGAAAATGGTCAAAATTAAAAATCTATACCATTTTGTTTAAATAAATACATATAGGCTAAAAATGCACAAATTAAATACTAGAAGTAATTACAGAAATAACATTATTATATATAGCATGAAAAAAATGCACATTCATTTTGATATTTGCTAAAGATTACATTTAAAGGTACAATATGCAAGATTTATTCGCCACCAAGGGTCGCTAACCTCTTACAATAACAAAGTGCGTATATTGATGACGTATATTCTGCATTAAGCGGAATTTTGGATCTTGTCGTCAAGTTAATGGATCTTTTATGCATGAGTGAATACATTGATGTTTTTCACATGACTGTGGTATGAAGCAGGGCGCGATTGCTAGATGTATACAAGCGCCACACGCACCGTGAGTCCCGCGGATATAAGGGAATAAGGACATTTAATTCTCAAACTACACGCAAGTGCTGATGCTTAATTACTCACAGGTCAGTTTATTAGACGAATGAAACTTGAGGTAACGCAGCGCTGCTTCTCTTGCTCTGTTTGAGTGTGTTGTATGTTGTTAGGTTGTTTGTTGGCTATATGAGACTAAGCTAGATTAACATTAGAGAATAACTTACAGATCATATTCTAACTTTTCATCATGTTGAACTATATAACATTGATTAGTTTGCTCAACATGCTTAACATTTGCTTACCTGTCTAATAAAGTAATATGCAACACTCGCGTCTCCGTCAAGTCAAAGTTAGCTCGGCATCTCGAAAGATGTTGATCTTAGTTTTAGTCCTCTTTTTGTCTCAAAGTCTGCTTGCCATGGTCCAAAATGTTTGAACAAAACAACAACAGCGTGAGCGTCCTTCTTGGCATAACCGGCATAACCGACCGAGTTGTCCACGTCTGTCGCCATGGTTACTGTTGCAGTACGAGGTCAAACCTGGCGGAAACCGGGGGTAACGCGGATATGGCGCAATCGACTGGCGACTCCTCACTCCTGCTCACACGCACCGTTTCCTTGGTTAAAATCGCAATTTTCTCACGATTTACAAATAGTTGGAAACATTTGGGATTTTTTAAGTAATCAACAAAACAAAATAAAAAAAAACATTGTCCTAGTGGTTTTTGGATATTTTACTGCAAAAATCCTGCATATTGTACCTTTAAAGTATAATATATATATATATATATATATATATTACGAATAACTTTGTCAGTGCTAGATGGCAGCAAAATATATATAAATAGAGGAAATGAACATGGACAATTAAATATATCAGCCCATACGATAATAACATAACCTATATGGGACCGGTTATATTGTGTTTTACGGTATGTCAGATTAAATACCAATAAGAACATGTGTGTATTAAGTGGTTTTGAATTATATAAGTAATAAAAGGTATGTATTATATGAAGAGTTCAGATGCAAAAGCATCTAAATGCCATTTGAAATTTTCTTCTAGAATGGTCATTTTTATCAAGCTTGTATATTTAAGTTCAGTAATTTCACTTAAATGGCAATGAAGATTACCTATTAATTGTCATTTAAGTGAAATTACTGAACTTAAATATACAAGCTTGATAAAAATGATCATTTTAGAAGAAAATTTCAAATGGCACTTAGAGGCTTTTGCATCTGAACTCTTCATATGTACTTTTATGTCTTTTATGTGCCCAGCACTACCAAAAACTAAGCATGAATATTTCATGGTCAGAATAAAGTGGACCAGACTTTGTCAATAGTCAAAAACAAAAGTCTGACTATATCAGAGAGGCAAACCATTGTTCTTTTGTGCTTTATTTCTCAAGTGAATGCTCCAGGCACATTGAAATCACATTTTGTGTGGTTTACACTCCTAAAAGTTTAGTCGGCACACATCCTGCTGTAGTCCTGAAGGTTTTTCTAACCAGTTCCAGTCTCTGCTGCCCTGACCACCTGTAATCTGGCCAGCATGGGCCTGAGGGAGACCGGTTGCCGGCTGCTTCAGATTGGCTTGTTTGTGCCATCTCCAGAGGGTTTAAACGGGGTTAATGAGCCTCTGGTGCACACAGTCCGAAACTTCCTTACACAAATCGATTTTAGACATGAGAGGCTTTGAGGATAAACATAGGGGATCATTGACACGGAGCGTTAAAATGCAAGTAGTTCTGAATATGAAGATGGATGTATTTTGCCCAGTATAAACAGTTATGCAGCCTGCAAGCATTTGTTTTTTCATGGGTTTAGAAAGCTAAAATTGCTTTTTTTTAAACAATGATTATCTTTAAAATAATTCAATTACAAGTAAATGTTTCGCAAGGATAAAAAATGTATCTGCTCATGCTGTAAACTATATAAATTTTATATAGGAGCCCTTACTTGCACATTACTATAACATTAAAGCTTAACAACAGAGCCTAGACTTTTATCCCGAATTTTTAGACTACATTCAGTTGATATTTATTTTTTAGATATAATAATAAACACTCAAATAACAAATTGTATGAAAACATGTAAACTGCACTTAAGGCAGTATGTTTTTGTCACGTCATATGTTTTTACTCTAATTTGTTATTACATATATAATAGTCTACACAGTTGCTGTTATTTTCATGACAGATATTTTAAACATACATTAAATAATCAAGATATCATTAACAGGTTAAGTAAAATATGATATAATATATAGTTAATATAGTGCATTTATTTAGAGTTAGAGCTGGAGTTAGCAAACCAACAGGAGGTGGACACTGAATGACTTACCTGGGGTAAATGTAAAGCTATGTGAAAAACAAAGCGTTTTATTGATGTATTTCTGCTGTTGAAACACTGATTGAGTGATTACACGAGTTATGATGCCTTTCAGTAAGTATACTGTATCTTTCAACATACCTTCAGGTGTCCATTCATGTTTATTCTGTAACTGAGGAAGAGATGATCGCGCTCCGTGCTGCCGCTTTAAAAGCCGAGCCTAGTGCAGTGGCTGGGCGGGGTGTGTTCGGTACGCCATGAGAGTATCGCAATACGTATCATGGGTGGTGTATCCGCTGATCTATATATTGTCATTATATAGATCAGTGGGTGTATCGTGTATTTTTTTTTTTTGTTTGGTTTGGTTCGAATATTATTACACCCCTATTACGTATGTACGTCGTCTCAGTCCATAATGACACTGTTTCCATGATTGTGAAAAACCTTTACATTTTAGAGAATTTTAATATTTTGTTATGTAAATAAAAAAAGAAATATTGGACATTTCTGTATTGAATGTATATTTTTCAAGCTGATCTGCTCTAAAATATTTAATCAGAAATATTTAGAACTATTGCTCATGTGGAAAGTAAAACTTGCTCAAAAGGTATCTGAATTTCGAGAATTTCTTTTTCAGTGAATCGTTCAAAACTGCACAATTCACAGTATTCATTCAATTGATTCATTTGTTTATTTAATTGAGGACGCGTGGGAGCCCTGCTCCTTCATCAGCATCATGCAGGTCACCTGACAGATAATTCACGGACACTATGCCGTAATTGAAAACCATGATTGTGCTGAAAGGAAATATCCTCCCATTGATTCAATTTTCTAGGGTAAAATAGTGGCAATCATTATAAATGAAGCTAGAGAAGATTGTTGCTATAGGGACAGGAATAAGGCAGCCAATGAGAGGACACAGTTCTGTGTAGTGACTAAAGCTGGTTCCTCACATGCATTTATGCTTCTGTGCAACCTGGTTTACAATAATGGCTCAGTCTTTATGTACTGTATGCTCATTAATTGGGTGGAGTAATTCCCTGTTCATCGAGGTTGTCGTGTGCGTGTGTGTGTGTTTGTGGTGAGAGTGAAAGAAATAGGACAGTTTGAAAAAGAAAGAGTTGTGTGTGTGTGTGTGTGTTCTTTAGGTTTCATCAGACTGACCAGGGTTCTTAAGTGACCATCCCTACACCCTAGACAATAATACAAAAGCTCTTTTGGACAGGAAGTGAACATAAAGAGCCCGCCTAATTTATTTGCACATGCTGTCTATGTAATTTTACACCCAATTCACTGAAGAAATTAGAAGGCACTGTTTGTACCGAACAAAACGTAATTACTTTATTGAAATATGGCATAGGGCTTTTTTAGATGATTTAGCACATGGCAAGTCAGCAAGAATTACTGTTCACAGTTTAATGCACACCGAACATACGTTTTACCGAGTACGTCACACCGAGTTAACGTTATACAATATACTGCGTGGTTTCGATGACGTCAGTGGGAAAGGAAATATACTGGTTTATGAAGTTTATGAAAACATTGTGTGTTTATTCATTATTTATTTATTGACTTATTTTATTTACCTTATGTATTATTATTATTGAGAAAATTACATTTTATTATTTATTTTATGAAATAAACCAGAAGTTTTATTAACTAGGTCAATTTTGATTTCATGTTGGCTTGAAACTAGATTGTGGTGACTTATAAGAATAGCATTTCTCTGTTGCAGTAGTGACACCGCTGTAGTGGATGTGTCAAAGTACAGAGGACTAAATGCACAGCACTCACTTTTCTCTCTTTCTCTCTCTTTTTCAGGTTCTTAAGATTAATTTGATCGGCCACAGGAAAAGAATACTCGCATCACTTGGAGATCGACTGCACGAAGACCCTCCACAGAAACCACCACGGGCCATCTCTCTAAGGGCGAGTATGAATCAGAAACTCCCCCCATACTATGGCTGTTATGTTTTCAGTCAACGATAGAATGATAAATTGCAAGTTCATCCTAAATGTCACTCATAACATATGTTGTATTTTTTTTTGTGTGTGTGTATGCGTTTTGGTTTTTTTATCCTGTTCCTTGAAACGTTTATAGAGAGAAATGTTTTTAAGAAAACAGAAAAGTCACTTTCTGCGTGATTTGCTCTTATCCTGAGAGAGATGGCATTCTTATGGCCTGATCCGCTGCAGGGATTTCACTTGATCTTCCAGGCTGGATCAGACAGCTGCTCTTAAACGCAGCTAGGCCTCCTCAGCCTCTTTATTTCAGTGCTGTCTGACGTAGAAACAGTGGGTCAAATGACTAAAAATGAATTCAAACACAAACGTCAACCAAAAAAAGACACACAATCAGACCCCGAGTGAGAAAGTCCCTATAAGCACTTTCTTATCATTCCCATTCATCTTATGGCAGTTTCTCCTCTAACCACCCTGCTAACCACCAAAAAAACATTTCTCTGTCGCCTTCCCGCAGGAGCCCACCGGGAACCACACTCCCCCTCAGCTGTCCCCTTCTTTGAATCAGGCCTACACCAACGCCGGCTCTCTGGACGTCCAGCATCTCATCATGCAGGCAGACGCCCGACGCAGACGCAACGACAGCTACTTTGAGGACGTCCCGCGCTCCAAACTAGAGAGACAGATGGCACAAGTCAGTATGGTGAGTTAGTGCACTTGCGTCAAGTGCACTACTCCCCTCTGCGTGTGTTGGTGTGAATTGTGCTTTGTGTCCTGATAGAATCTCAATAAGTCAATGCCATGGTGTGTAAAAGTTTGTTTGCGATTGGGAGTGTTGTGATGAAGCTCTCTCATTGTGATGTGTGTATGCCTGTTAGGGCTGTGCAAAAATATCGATACAGCTAATATCAGAGAACAGCTAAATCGCGATATTTTTTTTCAAGATAGTGTATCGTTAATTCAACTTTTAATATTGATATTCATAAAAAAATACATTATCCTAATGCTTGGACACACTCGGTCTCTCACGCGCACAGACACCGTTATCTCTCACGCACGTGTAGTCACAGTTCTCTCTTGCGCTTGTCGACACAGTTCTCTCTTGCGCGCCATCACCGTTCTCTCTCTCACGCGCAGACACTGATCTCTCTCTCTTGCGTGCCGACACCGTTCTCTCTCGCCCGCGGACACTGATCTCTCTTGCGCGCGTGTCGACACCGTTCTCTCTTGCACGCCATCACCGTTCTCTCTCGCGCACGGACACTGTTCTCTCTTGCGCGCGTGTCAACACCGTTCTCTCTTGTGTACCGACACGTTCTCTCTCACGCGCAGACACTGATCTCTCTTTCGCGCATGTCGACACCGTTCTCTCTCGCACGCCATCACCGTTCTCTCTCGCACGCGGACACTGATCTCTCTTGCGCGCGTGTCGACACCGTTCTCTCTCCATCTCGCGCGTCTCTCCATCTCACTGATCTCTCTTGCGCGCGGACACAGTTCTCTCTTGCGCGCGTCGACACCGTTCTCTATCGCGCGCGGACACTGATCTCTCTCTCTTGCGCACCGACACCGTTCTCTCTCGCGCGTGTCGACACAGTTCTCTCTTGCACGCCATCACCGTTCTCTCTCGCCCGCGGACACTGATCTCTCTCACGCGCGTGTCAACAGTTTTCTCTTGCACGCCATCACCGTTCTCTCTCGCGCGCGTGTCGACACTGTTCTCTCTTTTGCGTGCGTCGACACCTTTCTCTTTTGCACGCGTCGACACCATTCTCTCTCGCGCGCGTCGACACCTTTCTCTTTTGCACGCGTCGACACTGTTCTCTCTCGCACGCCATCACCGTTCTCTTGCGCGCGAGGACACTGATCTCTCTTGCGCGCGTGTCGACACAGTTCTCTCTTGCACGCCATCACCGTTCTCTCTCACGCGCAGACACTGATTTCTTTCTCTTGCGCATGTCGACACCGTTCTCTCTCGCGCGCGTCGATACCTTTCTCTCTCGCGCGTGTCTACACTGTTCTCTCTTGCACGCCATCACCGTTCTCTCTTGCGCGCGTGTCAACACCATTCTCTCTCGCGCGTGTCGACACAGTTCTCTCTTGCACGCTATCACCGTTCTCTCTCGCGTGCGGACACTGTTCTCTCTCTCTTGCGCGTGTCGACACCGTTCTCTCTTGCACGCCATCACCGTTCTCTCATGCGCGCGGACACTGATCTCTCTCTTGCGCGTGTCGACACAGTTCTCTCTCGCACGCCATCACCGTTCTCTCTCGCGTACGGACACTGATCTCTCTTGCGCGTGTCGACACTGTTCTCTCTTGCACGCCATCACCGTTCTCTCATGCGCGCGGACACTGATTGCTTGGACACTGATCTTGCGCGCGTGCCGACACCTTTCTCTTTCGCGCGTGGACACCTTTCTCTCTCCATCTCGCGCGTCTTTTCATCTCACTGATCTCTCTTGCGCGCGTGTCGACACCGCTCTCTCTTGCACGCCATTACCGTTCTCTCTCACGTGTGGACACTGATCTCTCTTGCGCGCGTGTCGACAGTTCTCTCTTGTGCGCTGACACCGTTCTCTCTCCATCTCGCGCGTGTCGACGCCCCGTTCTCTCTCGCGCGCAGACACAGTTCTCTCTGTTCTATCGCACGCGCAGACACTGTTCTTTCTGTTCTATCGCACACGCAGACACTGTTCTCTCTCTTGTGTGCAGACCCGATACTCTGTCCTAAAGTATGTGATACACACACCCGAATACCCCAAGTGGTACATAGTAAGTTGTATATTGAGGTCAATTTTTTTTACATTTTGGATTTGAAAACAGAACAATTGCAATATGTATCGTATCGTGAGGCCTTTGCCAATACCCAGCCCTGATGACTGTGTGATTTGCCGTGGTTGTGAATAGAATGAGTTACTGAAATGTTGTTTTATTAACAAAGTTTTGGAGGAGCACATTCAGATAATTATCACAGGTGGAGATCACTCAGAAATCAATTATAAGAGGTGTATATAGATTCAGCAGTGTCTCCTCAATCCATTGAGAATTTAGCAGCATCCCTCCACCACCCCTTCTCCACTCTTCTAGTCCTAACCATTTACATACAGGGGGTAGTACTCTGGGTTTGGCCCCCCAGACAGCATGCCAAATACGCATTAAACTTAACTCCCTTTAATTGTATGTAAGTGTGAACTTGTGAAACGAACGTAATGACAAAAGCTTTTATCTGTTTTTCCTACCCTGTGGCTGCATATATCATCACACAGAGAGAGAGAGAGAGAGAGAGAGAGAGAGAGAGAGAAAGATTGAAAAAGCGACAAAAGGCTTTAGACCAAATCCTCGCAACTATCCAGTTACATTCAGTTAATTAGGTAGTTAGCTAGTTAGTTAGTTAGTCAGTCAGTTAATTAGTTAGTTAGTTAGTTAGTTAATTAGTTAGTTAGTTATCCAGTGCTGAAACAAATCACGTTATTAGTAAGTTTATGAAAATATTCATTTTAATTCTTTAATTCTTTTTTATTTAATTCTTTATTATTATTTTTATTATTGTTGTTAATTTATCTGTTTTTCCTGCCCTGTGGTTCCATATATCATCACAGAGGGAGGGAGAGACTAAGCAAAAGGTCAGAAAACTATGAAACTTGTACTTGTGTGTGAAACATTTGATCGAAAATACAAAAAACATTAACATTGTGAAATATTATTACAATTTAAAATAATGGTTTCCTATTTTAATATAATTTATGTAATGCAAAGCTGAACTTTCAGCATAATTGCTCCAGTCTTCAGTGTCACATGCTGTAATGATGCTGCTAAATTCAGATTTGCATCACAGGAATAAATTACATTTTAAAGTACATTAAAATATATATACATTTTTTTCCCCTCTATTTTTGATCAAATAATTGCAGGCTTGATGAGCATAAGAGACTTCTTTCGAAAACAATAAAATCCTAATGTTTCCAAACTTTTGACAAGTAGTTTATTATATAATTATAAATTAATATATATATATATATACACACACACACACACACACAAAGAGAGGGAAAAAAGAAATAGATTGAAAGAGATGCCTTTAGAATAGAAATGCATAGCATCATCTATAGTTTCACCTTTTGTAACCTGAATGCTGGACCTTGATATAATTACAAACATTTATGCTTTTTCCCACTTCCTCTTTTTTTTTTTTTTTTAGCAAGGGGAATGGTGCGAGCCAATCACATTACGGCCTCCAAACGAGGCGACATCATCTACGCCGGTGCAGTACTGGCAGCACCATCCTGAGAAGCTTATATTCCAGTCATGTGACTATGAAGCATATGTAAGTGTGGGTTTTAAAAGTGATAATTGATGAATGTTTGTCAGATGTTTCTAAGGAACCAAAAGAACACTTGAAATGGGAGCGTACGAGGAATTTAGAAGTAGATGCGGCCTTGGCGGGCTCCTGTAAGCCAGAGAACGAAAGAGAAAAGCGAACGTGAAAGCTATCTACGAGTCTATTAGTTATTCAGTTGTGAATAATGGTGTTTTAACCTTCAATCAATACAGGTTTTTTCAGCTCTCTCTGGGCCCGAGCATCTCTAGTATTGGCTTACATAAACCCACTCTGTTTCCTAGCAACAGCCATATAATTTTGATTGGCTTATTCTCCAGTGCCAAAAACACTGATGGAGTTTATGAACAGAATCCATGCATGTATGTGTGCCTGAACCGCAGTGGCCAAAAGTCAAGAGTTTTGTTCCCAGTGTTGAACTGTGAAGGAATCAGGAAACTTTCATCAATGCTGATCTGACTAGTAGTAAAATATGCTTTAAAAAATGTATAAACTGATATTAAACTTAAGCTGTTGATTCTGACTCTCATGATGGTTCCTAAAATTAGCTCAGTAATGAGATTCTCACCTGACAATTATTATACTTACTTTTATTATTGATAGGGTGACCAGACGTCCCTTTTTTAGCTCTATTTTTAGTGTCCCGACTTATGAAAAAGTTTTGTCCGGTGTTTCTTTCATCAATAGTCTAAGATAGTGATCTTTTGGTGAACAAAATTACCATCCAATCTCAATTCATAATCAATAAACTTGCAGGAAGTGAAGGTGGGATATTAGAGAGTGCAGGGAGATCCATTAAATGCGTATTCATTTAACATTTAATGTACAGTAAGTTTTGAAAAAAATAACTGAATGTGTGAATCCCGTATTCCTCCATGAGAAAACTGGTCGCCCTAATTATTGATCTTATATTACTGGATACATTTCTACTTGGCAAATATAATATAAATAAAATTAATTAATTAAAAATCTAATTATACAAAAGTAAAATAAAATAAAAATCTTGAAATCTAAAATATTAAATAAAATTAAATTCAAATATTACAACAAAATATTTAAATGAAATGTAATGTACGAATACAGAGGAATATACAAATAAATAAAAATAATTTAAACTTCAAATACATTTTGATTAATACATAAGATTGATTAATATCATATAGCTGCGATTAAATCTAAATGAACGGTCTAGACTGGATTTGGAAATAAGATTTAGCGATTTAAAAAATGAGTAGTACAGATTCTGAGAGTAGTGCCGTTGTAGTCTTAAGATGATTGGCTTTTACATTAACGGAATGCTTTACAAAATACTGTCACACCTCAGCACGGTAGATTCCAGATTGCGTTCATGTGAAACACAGTCTGCTGGCTCTCAAGGTTGTCCTTGTCTGATACCCAGCAGTGCAGCGTAACACTTCAGTAGATCACAGCACAACTAAGCTCTTTCCGACCGATCTCTTCGGTTCCTACACACTTCGTTGTACACGGCTACATTTCCATTCAGTTATTGATTTATTTGACAAGTGGTACTCACAGTGACACAATCTGTGCATGCCTACTGCTGGAAAAGAAAAGGATAATCTGAATACTGAGGTGGTCTTGTATACATACGTTTATATACATACTTACATACATATACTGTATGTGGTTTATTATTACTTTTATACATTTTATCAACTTTTTTGTGTTTGTTCTGCAGTATCTGGGGTCTATGTTGGTGAAGGAGTTGCGCGGTACAGAATCCACGCATGATGCCTGCGCAAAAATGAGGGTAAGATTTGTGTCACCATGTCTAGTCATCCCCCCGCTGCCCTCGGGTCACTATGACACAGTCATTGAGAAAACAGGACTACGAGAGCACACAGCGTATGATACAGAAGACAATATTTAGGGAAATAATCAACAATTATCACATTTCTTGTAACTTCCCACTGTGAATAAATGCATTAACCAAGCTTTACCTCAAAATACCTGTTCTGACTTCAATGGCCTCCGGGCCCCCGTTCCCATTAGATTATTTAACACAGCAGGACAGTCCGCCTGCTCTGTTTTTGAATGCATGTAAAACACCATCTGTTCTCCATCCCGCTCCTTTCTGCTGCACATTTCGAAGTTTGAGACCTGCCGCCCCTTGCTTCCACACAAACACATTAATACATTCAGAGGGTGTAAATTTAGGTCCTCTATCTCTCGCTCTTTGTTTTAAGCAGACTATTTTGACAGGTACGGAGCGGCAGAGAGGCCGCTGATCCACATGAAATCACTGACAGTGAGAGCGAGAAGGGAAATGAGGTCCAGATGAATACATTTTCCACTCTGACGGCTGATATGACGGCGTAGGAATATATAAAAAAATAATTCTGATTCTATGAAGTTCATCTTCATCCTCGGCTGCATGTGATTTATGCCCCCGCAGCAAGAGGTGGTCTGGTCTCCCAACCTGGTCAGGTTTGCTGGTTTTATAGAGGTTTTGGGCACTTGACAGCTTGGTTTCCACTGGCTGACCAGAGTGGGAAACCAGCTAAGTCAGCTAAAACCTTTTTTATTCCCAGCAGCACTACATGTGGTATATATAGGTCATCAACGTCATCAACGTTCAAACCCAATAAGGTCACATTTTTTACAGTGCACAATGTTATTTTGTCCCTTTTTACTTGTCTCATGAGATGGCTCTCTATCTGGGTTATTGCAGAGTATTGAAGGGCATTATGTGTAAATAATTTAGTGTGCGTTTGAGTTTGTATAAAGCAGATCTCAGTCAGTGTGTGATGGGGCCTCATGAATGTTAATGTTGGAGACTGTCTGCTGATCTCCCCTCCTCTCTTTCTCTCCCTAAGAAGTCTACAGAACAGATGAAGAAGATCCCCACCATAGTACTGTCCGTCTCCTACAAGGGAGTCAAGTTTATCGATGCCACTAACAAGGTAATCCATCTGCTGTTACCTGTATAATGTCTCAATTTATACATGGATTATAATAATAGGAACTTTCATCTTCTTTTATAAGAGAAATTAGGGCTGTCAGTCAATAGAAAATGTAATTGAGTAATCAATCACAATAATTTGCATGTCATGAAATAAATTATTCTGACAAAGCGTTGAATAGATCTCGTAAAAAGTGCCATTCTAAGGAAATTTATTAGCTTTTTATTTCAAGTAAAAAGCTCTATTATTTATGATCTTTTCCTCTTATTTCTCTCCCTTTCCCTGATGTTTAGAACATCATAGCTGAGCACGAGATCAGGAATATCTCGTGTGCCGCGCAGGACCCTGAAGATCTGTCCACGTTTGCGTACATCACCAAGGACCTGAAATCCAGCCATCATTACTGCCACGTGTTTACAGCTTTCGATGTGGTTAGTAGCAGATAATAGATAAACCCATGTCTGATAAAGCATCAATAAAACTGAAACATCCATTAAAGTTACAAATACGCAAGTGTTGCAAACCATATTTGAGGAATTCCACATTTCATAAATACAAATGAAATTATTAATATATATATTGGTGAAGATGTATTTGATTATTGACTTAATTTTACATCAAATTAATGTAAAAAAAAGACCAAAATAAGAAGCAACATCACAAAGTAGCCTATTGTTCATTGTTGGTTATTTGAATGTATTTTAATTTTATATTTGACCTTTTTTTAAGGATTAATGTCTAGTGTCAAGTTCTGAACTATTTTCTGAGATGAGATTGTAAAAATTTCCTGTGAAAACACTTGGTTGGACTGACAAGTCTTCATCAAAACTTAAATGTCACATTTGTATAGTCGTTTTAAATACAAACTATACTTTTTGTTAGCGTAAAAAGGCTTTAGTGGGGTTTTTTTAAGGAAAATGTCTGTTTAGTAAGCTGATGTCTTTTGTGTTACTGCCTGTCACAGTAACACCACAGAGCTGTCTGTGCATCAGCTAGTCACAACACATGAATCATTTATAACATGCTTAAAGCATGTTTTTAATCATTTAGAAATCACTAAGCTCTGAAATTATGGAAGAAAAGTGGTAAAATGCTGCCAAATGTAGTAGCACTGAATTCAACTCAAATCTTGAAGGATTTTTTAACATTTTTTAACATTAACATTTTTTTCATTTTTTAACATTTTTTAACATTGTAACAGCGTAGATCTGATCGCCTCTACGTGTCTGTTTTTTTAACAGAATCTTGCCTATGAGATTATCCTGACGTTGGGCCAGGCGTTTGAGGTGGCGTATCAGTTGGCCCTGCAGGCCAGAAAGAGCGGCCACGGGTCATCCACTCTGCCCGAGAGCTTCGACAACAAACCCTCCAAACCTGTCCCTAAACCTCGCGTCAACATACGCAAGAGTGTGAGTGACTTTGCTCTTTGACTTTGCCTAACACAGCAGCCCGTCTCATCCATCTGTACATAAGTACACCTGCTCACCTTGAACCCATATCTGTGTGTGCTCGAGCTGAGTGATGCATCATGGGAAACAGAGCTGCTGGAATGTGTGTCAATTTGTTGCGTTTAACAGTTTAATAACAGCAAAATCATTCTAATATGCTGGTTTGGTGCTCAAGAACCATTTCTTTTTATTATCATCAATGTTTAGCAGTTGTGCTGCTCAACATTGACAGATAAACATGACAGATGCACACTTAAAATTATTGTGTTGCATGTAATAGCTTGTATCAATAGAATCTCTAGTAAATGTGATTTAAATCGTTTGTATGGTTTTGTTTAGCTGTTTTGGATTATCAAATGGTTAATCCAAAAGCAATGAGTGGGTTTTGTGTCAATTTTGTCATTTGAATAATATTTCTTTATTAACAATTTGATATTTATTCCATCTAAAGACCTCTGGTGAAATTGGAATCATTTGGAAACCAATCTGGCCCTCGTGGTAAAATGAGTTTGTGAAGTAAAAACAGCACGGACGAACAGACTTATTAGCCATTTATTGATTTCGATGTTTGCATGATTGCCTGTTTAGAAGCACGTGCAACATTTTAAAACCGATATTGAGAAATGTGTGTTTGGCAGTATTGCAATAAGTTTACTTCCTCACAGTGAACGGCTGTTTGTACGCACACCAGCGCGTGTGTGTCGCAGCCTGTCCTGAGGGACGGAGAGGTGAGTGTTTGATCTGTAAACGGCGCACTCCATCTCCTCTTCCTTCAGTGCGTTTAAGGATGAAAGAGATTGATGAGGGCTGTTTGCACAGAGCTCCAGCAAGTGGCTTCCTCCAGGGCAGCCTTCCTCTCCATCTGCCCTCGTCCCAGTGCCCCCAGAGCAGGCACGGTGCCTCTCTCTCCACCCTGCCACCAGCAGAGATATTACCACTCTCTGGATAAGGGCCCAGAATAGGTGGGAGCTCGTCATAAAAATAAAACACACCTCGGCTTTTGGAGTTGGATTACACGCAGGACAGAAACGATGGATGCCTGGTTGAAAATAAACAGTTGCATTTGGAGTCCAGCCTGCAGACATAACCCTCTTTAGTTTTAATGAGAAGCCTAACTTCTCTATCTGTTTTAAAGGCCAGATCACTGTCCACATAAGATGTGATATTTCAGTATAAATACTGGGCCAATTTGGCACTTTAAACTGAGCTGTGGTGTAGCAGACACCATGCATGCTGTGAGAGATACGGTGCTCAAATGGACTTTGTAGATTCAAATTCGGCCCCCAACAAGTTCAGATCCTGTTCTCCTTCTCTCTCGTTCAATTCAGTTTTTGCAAACTCTGTATTTTTTCTCTCTACACTTTGCATTTTATACATACATACATACATACATACATATATTTTGGCCTTTTATTTATATATTTATAAATAAATAAAACTGTACAGACTGTACAGTCGAGCCCAGAATTAATCATACCCCTGGTAAATATGATCAAAAATGGCTGTGAAAAATAAATCTGCATCGTTTATCCTTTTGATCTTTCATTCATAAAATTGGCAAAATCCTAACCTTTCGTTTAAGTAAAAGAATTGAAAGTGAGGGGGTAATCACATTATAAAATAAATGTTTTTTCTCCAAAACACGTTGGCCACAATTATTCATACCTTTTTATTAAATAACTTTCTGCTCTAAGTTTTCTCCTATAATGCCTGATGAGTTTGGAGAACACCTGACAAGAGATCAGAGACCATTCCTCCATACAGAATCTCTCCAGATCCTTCAGATTCCCAGATCCATGTTGGTGCTTCTTCTCTTCAGTTCAGACCACTCATTTTTTATTTGGTTCAGGTCAGGGTCTGGGACAGTCATGGCAGAAGCTTCATTTTCTGCTGCCTGACATATTTTTGTGTTGATTTTGATGTTTTGGATTGTTGTCCTGATAGAAGATCCAACCACGGCCCATTATAAGATTTGTATCAGAAGCCGTCAGGATTTGATTTTTTATCTGTTGATATTTGATAGAATCCACAATGCCATGTATCTGAATAAGAAGTCCAGGACCTCCTGCAGAAAAATAGGCCCCCAACATTAAAGATCCAATGATATATTCAAATGTACACATGGGGTACTTTTTATCCTCATGTCCACCAAACCCATCTAGTGTGCTTAAAAAGCTTTTTTTCTGCCAAAAAGCTCTTTTTTAGTCTCATCTGACCACTGAATATGCTGGAGTTTGTTTTTGGAGGAGCGAGGAAGATTTTTCTTGAAACCCTCTCAAACAACATGTGGGGATGCAGGGGTTGTTTGATAATTTTTTTTAGGCTTTCGGACCCCAAGACTTAACTAATCTCTGCAATTCTCCATCTGTGATCCTTGAAGAGTCTTTGGCCACTCAAACTTTCATCCTCACCGTCCATGAAGAAAATATAGACACACATCCTCTTCCTGGCAGATTCGTAACATCTTTAGTTGATTATAACATCTTACTTATTGCCCTGATGGTCAAAATGGGGATTTTCAATTCTTTAGCTATTCTCTTACATCCACTTTCTATTTTGTGATGGTCAACAATCTTTTGATGCACATCAGAACCATGTTCTTTGGTTTTATTCATTGTGATGGATGATGAAGGGGATTTGGCCTTTGTGCTTCCTCATATTTAAACTCCTGTGAAACAAGAAGTCATGAATGGAAAATGTCATGTTCCTAGTCACCCTGGTGTGCTAAAAAAAGGTAAATATTAATGGGAATGTACTTCATAGAAATTTTATTCATAAAAAATTGTAGGGGTATGAATAATTGTGGCCAACGTGTTTTGGAGAAAAACATTTAGTTTATAATGTGATTACCCCCTCACTTTCAAATCTTTTACTTAAACGAAAGGTTAGGATTTTGCCAATTTTATGAATGAAAGGTCAAAAGGATAAACGATGCATATTTATTTTTTTTACAGACATTTTAGATCATATTTACCAGGGGTATGATTAATTCTGGGCTCGACTGTGTGTATATATATGTATATATATTACGACTGGCCCTTTTTAAATACTATAAATAAAGCTACTAAATTTCTCAAATATCTAGTTGGTAAAAGTTTTCTGGTTGAAATAATAGTTTGTTACTGTTGTTACTGTCCCATTTGACATCTTGATTCCTTCCATTAATCAAAAAAACATTACATACAGGCATATAAAATGTTATGAATAATGTATAAACTTAGAATGTATTATAAAGGCCTGGTTTCACAGACAGGGCTTAAATAAAGCCAGGATTAGGCCTTTTGTTAAGCTACTTGGTAACATTTAAGTAGCTTTTATAAACATGCCTTAGAAAAAAAAACACTACTGGCGACGAAACCATGGCACTGACATATTTTAATATATTGCGTTATTTGAGTTAAGACAGCTCAATCATGCATTTTAGTTTAGTAGTCTCTAAAAACAGGCAAAAATGTATCAAACTAATCATATATACGCACATATCCTGACCTTTTAAAGCACCCACATTTGGACATTACACACTACTATCTTAGTAACACAAACAAACTAGAAATATCTCAAGATCTATCGGAATCAGTTCATGAAATCACAGGCGTCCTGTGTTAATAACTAATCCCTTCTGAATAGTGCTTATGTGACAATTTGCGTAAGAATGGATTTATGAATGATTAGAGCACATTTGTTCTGCTTGTCTTTTTGTGAATAAGACCCTTTTTGTGTGTGTGTGTGTGTGTGTGTGTTACACTGAACATTAACAGCATTCTCTGTGGCTGTGTGTGGTGTACTCGGATATTGATTTTCCCTTGTGTAGGAGAAATTGTTCATTATGTTGCAGTACCTCTTCTCCATATGGACACGATACGCTGTGTTGCTCCATGAGAACGGAATCCTTCTCTCTTCTGTTCATCTCCATGTGTCGGCTGAATGCACTGTATATGGGGGATTGTAAAATTAAGGGAATTTTTGACTACTTGAAGTCTTGAAAAAACTTTCACTATCTGCTATAGATTACTACAAGCTTCTCAATGTCTGTTGGAAAAAAGTGGTTAGCTTCACTACAACCTACTAGCAAAAAGGAGATAAAATATATTTAAATATACAGATGACCGATCGATTTGAAAAAGCTTTTGCTTGCATGCTAGGATATTGGCTGTTTATATAAAGCACATATTAATGCATGACCATATTCTACATCCTTAATCCTACCCAATACGTAAACTCAACAGCTACCTTACTAACTATTAATTAGCAGTAATTTGGAGATTGAGGCAAAAGTTGTAGTTAATAGTGAAAAATTGACCTGAACAGAGTATAATTAAGTGAACAACATCATTTAATTTATTCCAAACAAGAACTACTAGTTCTTGAAGTAGTTTAGTCTAAAATTCATGGGTAAAGGACAAGCCCAAAATAATCTGATTCCTCCAAATGCTTAATTTCAACACACTTGAAAATTCCTCTAATTAAAGAATGACCCATAATTGATTGATTGTGTGTGTGCGCATTTGTGTTTTCCCCTTCCCAAGCTTTGACCTCTGTGACGTCTTTGTTCCGCCTCTAGGTCATGTCCCTCTCTAGCCGCTGGTCCCTGGGGCATATTTTCACCCCGCACCGTCCTCCTCTTCATCCTTCTCCTCTTCCTCACACCTCCCGACTCCACCTTCATCCACATAAACTTCACTTTCAGGTCTTCTTGCATTTTGCTTTTCTTTGTTTCGTTCCCCCTTTTTCTTTTTAGGGCTGTCAATGACTTCATTTATTTGTGTTATATAATTAGTCACACTAAATGAATGCTAAATTGATAGGCCGTTTGTTTGTTTGTTTGTTTTTGTCATTTTTCTCAAGCTTTCTCTTTTTCAGTTCATTTATAAAAGGAAAATTCCTGGTTAAATAATTGTAACATCCTTAAAACAACGAGGTAATTTGACGTCATATCGCAGATTCTGCCAATCTCTCTTTGTCTAAACCGGAAATAATATTCCTTCATTATTCCTTATTTAACTTTGTTTTGTTCAGTTTGGTCTGTTTGTTTGATCTCTTCTTTATCCGAATCCTCCTTTCCTGTCGTCCTCTGACGGTCCGTCCATCTAGAACATCCGCTGACTAAACGGGGATAGAAATATTTCAGCATCTCTTATCCAAGACACCAACTCATCGTTCCCTGAGAGCGTTATCAAACCATTAAGCTCCTTTTCAGGTCGATGCCTCATACTAGAGGTTTATTGCGTAAGATTAGGGACTGTTTCTTTTTTTTTTTTTTTAAGCATTTGGATGTAGAGAAGAATGAAGTTGGTGTGGGTGTGTGCATGTGTGTGTTTGAGAGCAGTCAGAGGTAGCCAGAAAGAGCGAGGATTATGTTATTTAATATTCATGCGGCTGCATATGGAGAAACCTGATAAAGAACAGCATGTACGTAAAGGAGGACTCTGCGTTTGTGTGCGCATGTGTGTTTGTTCCTGTAGAGATTCACGTTTCGGAGCCATGTATAGCTCAGCTTTATGTGGAGCAAGGCTGAGCTGCCGTGGCAACAAGGAACAGTGTTTTGATTGGTTGATAAAGATGTACTAGTTGTAGGGTAGTTTTGACCACAGCAGATCAGCAAGATGGATTTTGTGTCACCGATACTTAATATAATAAATTAAGTAGTTTGATGTTACAGGTTTAAAAATAAGAATTCTGTAATGTGGAGTTATTTCACTGTTTTTGTGTTGGTGTGACAGTCAGATTGCTATGTGTTTAACCAATCACATCACACCTCTCTCTCTCTCTCTCTCTCACTTAAGAGGCAGTCACACTAGACTTGAGGTCCTTTCACTCCACGCACAATAACTATAAATATAACTATATTAGCGTCCACACCAGCGGATGATATAGTTCTGTTTATTCCAAGTGCATGCTTGTCTGTCACTTTAAATGGTCAAGCTCTTTCATCAGGATGAATTCTGCTTGGCTGTCAATGTTTTTATCGTTCATTAGTTGGAAAAAATGTCGTTCTGATTCTGATATTGTTATAGCCGTGGTTTGAACGTGCCTTTGAGCATGTAAATTACTTCAGATTACATGCATGAGTAACAGAATATAACTATAAACGTATTATTACATCATCATTATTGTAAATAATATAATTCATATGAATAATATATAACATTTAGTTGTGTTAGGTTTGATTAACTAGCAACACTACTTTTTCAGCATTTTCAATGTAGATTCCCGATCATTTCTACATTTTTGTGTAAATTTAAAATAGTTGATCTATTACAAATGAAGATAAACAAAAAACATATCTTTATTGAGCAGGGGCATCATTCACCACACACCCCCTCATTTATTTTTTAAGTATTCCTCAACATACTCCTCATTAAAGTGTATAGGGTCGCTTACGACCCGAGGTATGTAATGGTGTAAGTATTTTTCTTTCTTTTTTTGCGCAATCAAGTCAATTTTACTTTTATTCCTGTCTGATACAGAATGATGATTATGAGAAGTTTCACTCATAATTGCCCCTGGCATGTCCAACTTTACAAATATTAGTGTCACTGTCACCTGATGGTGGACGTTTAACTAATGTTAAAGGAACACTCTGACTTTTTGGGACTTTAGCCTATTCACCTTACCCCCCAGAGTTAGATAAGTCCATACATACCTTTTTCATCTCCGTGCGTGCTATAAGTCTGTTTGACGCACCCACCGCTAGCCTAGCTTAGCACAAAGACTGGATGTGAATGGTTGCACTTTCATACTAATCCAAATGAGTGACAAAATAACGCAAACGTTTTCCTATTTACATGTTGTGGTTTGTATAGTCACAGACTGTACAAATATCAAGGCCATATGAGACACACAGACATCTTTTAACCGTATAAAAACTATATTTTCTGAAGGCGAAGCACTGCTACTTGGGCAGAGTGATAACCATCACCTGAGACGCACCGTGACGAGGAGCAGAGAGTTCGCTCAGTGTTGGCGTTAGATAGAAAAGCATAGTTTATCATGGGTGTTTGCTTTATTGCATGAGCTGTGACAATAAACAGGGGAGACCAGGTAATACAGTACCATGTTTCATTGAATTCCAACCAAAAACGCACCCAGATTTATAAATATCACAGAACATAATTAAATTATTATTATTACAGGAATCAATATATTTTAAATGCAATTTATTAGCTGAACCAAATGTATTCAACAGCATATAATATACAGTATATTGCATAGGCCTAGAATAGGATAGAATAAGGGGAAAGTAATAGCACAAATTGTTTTTGCACAATGAACTCACAGCCTATCGTACCCTTTTGCACGCTCAAGGTTGTTATTTACCATTATTTTAAAATTTAGGCTATAGGCGCGCCGCGCGCAGGGTGCAAGTTCAACGCGCTCGTTTTTTTCCATGCGCGTCCGCGCCGCATCAAGATAAAAACATATTCATACCCTAATCATATAATAGTGTCACTAACGTTACATTAGCTCTGGCTAAAGGCACTGTTACTGTAGGTCATCTAAAAACATAACGGAACACTTACCTCAGCCGCAGGTGATCCACTTGTCCTGTCTGTGCTATCGATGGGATGGCCGTATCCTTCAGCACATTATGGTCCGTGTGGCAAATTCCATTTTTTCAAAATAGTCGTCCTCATTGAAATGTGCCGAGCAAACATAATGTCCCTTGATAATCTATTTTGGTGTGTTTGGATCAGAGTAAGTAAGTTAGCCATTTCTTCATCCAGTCAGCGAATTCTGTGAAACATGGTATTACCTCCCCTGTTTACTGTCGCAGATATTTACAATAGAGCGAAAACCCATGACTCTAAACTACGCTTTTACTATTTATAAATTGCAGACTCTGTTACCCAAACACTGAGACACAAGATCTTGCGTGAGCGGCCGTAGCCGCCTAAATGACTAGCACCTCTGACCTGTTGTCTCTTTCTCCTGTGTGCACCTCAGATGGAGCAGCCCTCAATGGATCAAAAGGGCCACGCAAACGTCCCATGGATAGTCGAGCCAGGACAGGAAGCCAAAAGAGGAGCCAACACCAAGTATGAGACCACTATTTTCTAATATACACCCAAAATACTGTCCACTCCTGTGTGTGTGCCTTACAGAGAGCGCCCTCTAGAGGCCCCCCACGGAGCCACGGGCCCAGTGACCTGTGACAAGCCCGCGTCTCTCCGCCCGGCCAAGCCCGCCCGTTTACCGTGGCTTCTGCATGATGACGCTGCCGCTGTCTATTCTCTCCTTCGATCTATTGCCCCGCTTTTTCTCTCTATCTCTTGATCTCTCTCGCCCCCCCCCCCCCCCCCTCCACCTCTCTGGCCGCAGCACGATAAGGGAAGGTCAGCCTTCAGGCCGCCACGCTGCCGATCCTCCTCCAAAACACACAAAAAAGTGTTGCAAGCGGTTGTTTTTCATTCAATTCCCCCCCCCCCCATCTCCTCTCTTTTTATTTGTCCTTCCCTCCGTCCCTCGCTATTCTTTCCTCGGCTTCTCCGGGAAGCGCCTCTTCAGCCTTTCCCCACTTGCCCCTCGACTGCTTGAATGACAACTTAAACCGTAATGCTGCTACAAGCCTTATAAACACAAATGTTGTTTTTAGAGTCGGTATTTGCTTTCTTTCTTTCTTTCTTTCTTTCTCTCTGACTAGACAGCATAGGGTTAGCGAGGGCGAAGGCTCACGGGAGGGAAACGGAGAGATTTTTGTGAGGTGGGGCTTTCGAAACGGCTGGCATAGAAGCGGAGATTGGACTTCACCCAAAGGACATTTTGCTTGAGTTGTTTGTTTAGTCTCGTAGAGAAGTTTTCATTTTTAGTACCAGCGCTTGTCGGAGAGAAAAAAAACTAACTGTAATTTTTTTTCCTTTTTTTCTTACACGGCACAAGAGTTACGAGCTTGTTTTAGTAAGTCATAACGTAAAGGTAATTTGTGGACGCAGATGTTTTTCCGATAGCATTTATAGGAGGCTTATTTTACGACGAGACATCCGCAACAAAAAAAAATTGTCTCTCAAATCGCGCGTTTTCCTTCCTCTCCAAATTTTTTTTTTTTCCTGTTGTGTTTTCATTCTTTCCCTTTTTTTGGTGTTGCCAAATGAATGAAAACCCGAGAAAACCGAGCCAATCCTGAGACATGCAGTGTAGTTGATGGAAAGCATGCAGTCCATGTGAACTGGAGAAGGGGGGGCTTTTTTTGATGGACACTTTGGATAAGTGATGTGATTTCATTCACAGGGCAATGGCGGACGCCCATGTCTATTACAGTGGAATTCAGAGAATGTAGCCTGCCCCTAACATGGACCCTCAGTCTCACATGCATTGCAAATAAGGACAGCAAATACGGAAGCTAAAAGCGTCACCGGAGCCTCTCGTAACGCATGAGTAAGGATTCGCACGAGGACTTTTTCAACTGGGACTTGGCGCGCACAAGGATTGCCGACGTGGACCCGTGGCCTTTTAACGAAACACTCGCATGCACGCGCACACATACACACTCACCGCATAAAAACAATAGGAGGAGACTGTGGGAATCGAATGTACACTTTTCAAGAGGCAGCGATTCGAGTTGCGTTCTAAAGGACAGCGGCCGTCACGGAACTTTGTCGCGCGAGAACCGCGGAGACGGTCTCGCTACGGCAACTCGGACACACTACATTGACTTTTCACTAAATATCTAGTCCAAAATACCATGGCATGTGTGGACTGGGATAAAAACGGACTTTTACATGAATTGCTGTATTTTTCTTTTCTGTTTTCTTTGTTTATTTCTTTCTTTCTTTCTCTCTTTATTTTGTTTGTTTGTGGTTAACGATCTTAAAAAAAAAAAATGAATATGCACAATGTGAATGAACTCATTGCACTGGACAACCATGAAATGGATGCGTCTCATGCCGAAATCACTACAGAATGGTCGTTAACTTGATTGGCGGCGCCATGCAGATTATTATTGATATATACTGTTTAATAGAGAACTATATTACCATTACTGTAATATTTACAATTATTATAATGATTCTTATTGTGCAATTCTTGTCTGATGTTGTCTTAACGTTACATTATTTTTATATGACGCGTCAAGCTCGAATACGCAGCCATCCGAAAAAAAAACCAACAACAAAATCTCGTAGTACTACAGAGGAACCGAATGTGTGGATGGCTCCACTTGTGTTTCAGATGAAAATATAAAAACAGATCTTATTTTCACTCATTGTCACTGTAGAATTTTGCCACAGTTGTGTAAATAAATATTTTGTCGACTCATTGTTCATATATGTTATTAGAAAAACAAACCAAAAAAAAAATGTAAAAAAAATCCAATAAATTACGTTGGGAAACAAGGTACAACATTTTGCAGGCAGGTCAAAGTTCAACATATTATAACATGGTATGAGCAACCGGTGGATTTGTGACATCATTGCAGACTAACATGTGTAGATAGGCTTGGGCTTCCAGCACACCGATTTTGTATGTTTGGTCTTTATTTATATTCTTGCAAAGCACACGGAATAAATCAGGATTGTAGAACCATTGTCCTTTCAGTGGCCTGTGCTCCTTCCTCTCTTGTTTTTTATTTTAAATCGTCCATCTATGGAGTGGTGCAGGGATGGACTTTAAAACCCGGTTTGCCACTGGAGATTTTTCAATGGCCTTTTATAATGGGGTTTTTCAATTTATGAGTAAAATAAATCCTATGCCAAACTCGTTGAAACTGTCTCGTCTAGTCACTTATTAGAAATAAACCACTGCTTGAAAATGTCCTCTTTTGATGTGGGTGTGTGCGGTTTATGCCTGGTTCAGATCACACGATTTTAGCCCGATTTTGGCACGATCCGTTTGACGTAGGGTGTCGTGGGGATTCGTAAACTACAACGGGCGTCATAGTGGGCGACAACCTACTGAGCCTGCGATGCTTCACGACAAAAAGACTAGCATGTTTAATTTTTTAAAGCGCTCGTCCACGACGGTTCCGTCACATGTACGAGGTTGACCAATAGGAGCACAGAAGCTTTTCCGTACACAACTTTCAAAAATGGCGAAACGAAAGAGAGACGATGGTGCTAATGTTAAAAGTATAAGTAAAAATATGTAAGAAAACAATATTTTACCTCAAGTTCTCTTTGGACGATCGACAGCCCACACTGTCCTCTTCGAGCAATCCAGGAACGTGTCCATTGTTGGATTTTCTTTTTCTTTTTTGTAGTTTTTTCAGGACAGGACACAGGACAGCCAATACAACACTCACCGTTTCATCCATTGTTTGTTTACGTTAGTTTCCGGAAATAACTCGCCACTAGTTTGGCCTTCTTGGTGACATCACATGCACCGTTAAAGGGATACTGCACTTTTTTTGGAAATAGGCTCATTTTACAACTCCCCCAGAGTTAAACCGTAAAAAAAAATGACCAAAGTGTTTTGATATTTGTCTTATTTAAAATTTGACTCTTCTGTAGTTACATCGTGCATTAAGACCGACGGAAAATGTAAAGTTGTGATTTTCTAGGCTGATATGACTAGGAACTATCCTTCACTGTCGTAACACGAGTGCAGCAGCCGCGATGTTATGTCGCAGCGCCTGAAAATAGTGCCCAGCTTCCAACGTGACCGGGACTAAGTTTGTGTAGACATCGCGCCTGCTGCACTCGTGGTACGGCAGTGAAGTGTCTTGATTCTTACGCAGGAATGAGAGTTTAGTTTACTGCATATCAGCCTAGAAAATCGCAACTTTACATTTTCCGTCTGTCTTAGTGAGATGTAACTACGATGTAACTACAGAAGAGTCAAGTTTTACATAGGAAAAATATCTAAACAACTTTGGTCATTTTTTTGGGAGAAATGCTAACCGTCTTGTGCACTTGTAACACAAAGTGTTACCGCCAGAACCGGAGATCGGCTGAATGGATTCAAAAAAGGTACAACTCAACAGTTTAACTCTGGGGGAGTTGTAAAATGAGCGTATTTCCAAAAAAAGTGGAGTATCCCTTTAAAGACGCCATTCGATGACTGGTCAGGAAGCAACATGTAGTCTGACGTGTTGTCCACGACAAGATTTTAGGAGTCAAAATCGAGTAATCTGACGCAGTGACTATCGTAACAGACAAAAAAAAAATGTGCAATCTGAACCGGGCATTACATTGTAGAGCAAAACGTCAAGTAATGTTTTACCACAGGCTTTGTTTTTATATATTGATAAATAGAAAAAGCCCAAGGCCATTGGAAAATCTCCAGGCAAATAAGTGTACCGGGTTTTGCCGTCATCCCCGCACCACTCCATCTTATGTACTTGTGTAACTTTTAGCTGTTGAATTGTTGTACCTCTTGTTGTTTTTATCAATGTACCACCCATCGATATTCCATCTTCATCCGTCCGTCGTTCGTTCGTTCGTTCGTTCTATCTACCCGTTGTTCCGTCACTTTTCTTTCTATGTAGGCCTAGGGCTGTATCTAATGATTGTTTGTATTAATTATTTGTGAATGTACTTATCAGTGGCCTCTGGGGAGCTGGCACAAATTCCAACTCTGTAAAGACAGGGAGCTTGTTAACAGTCGTGTTCTGATAAGGACTCGAGTGTGAGTTTCTGGATAATATCTCCCTCAGGCTGGGTGACATACGGTTCACTTGTTGTGCACTCTGTTTCCATGGAGCTCGTATCTTTCTCCACGCTGTCTGTTTAACACAACTCGGTAACAGATCTGGAGAAACACGGCCGGCCTAAGACGATCGGCTCGGAAGAAGCGACACCTTAAGAGCCGACACTACTACTCGAATCACGGAGACTGAAAACGTTGCGTTGATGGATGACTTGGTTGTTTTACTTTATAGTTTGTATAAACTTTGAAATAAAACAATAGAGAAGAAGTTCATAAGGCTTTTCTGTGAGATGTATATCTAACAGACATTTATAGCCTCGTTTTCACCTGCGGCGTGCTATATTCCCCAGTCTGGAAAGCGTTTACTGCATCTTTCTGTCAAGAGCCTTATAAATCAAACGGCATTTCAAGAAAGATCAGAGAGATATACGTCCGTGAGGTGAAAACGATCCCACCGACTTTTATCAAATATCCATTTCAGTTCTCACAACAAAGATAGAACGAGAGTCGTGATGGGATAACTGTAGTCTCGCATCCCAGATGGTGCGTATCCCGAAGCCTTTGACTAAATTAAGCGTCAGGGGATAACCATTTATGTAATTATCTTACAGATCAATTAATTAACACTTACAGAATGTGCCAGATAGATTTCTGCAGCGATATCAAAATAAAGTAGGCTTTATGATCGTTCAACTAGTTCAGTCGTGTTGATGTAAAAAGAACAAAGAGAGACGCGAGAGCCCGGGAATATGTGAGAAGTGGGCCAGAGCTTTAGGAACACACCAAATCAAACTGTAGGGAGCAAAAACAACCCTCACCTAGCAGCTCTGACGAAGGGAACAAACTTGCCTAATCTAAGCAAATATTGAACATTATGATCATTCCAAAGTAAAGCTATATCGACAACTAATCTTATGTGGCGACAACTCTGATATGTGTAGCGCATCAATAACATACTTATGATGTGTGATGAAGGACTGCTTGGCAACAGATAGCATTTAGCAAAAGTCAAACACGAAGCAACATTTGCAAGCCCTTTTGTAACGCGGAAGCCGATAAACGGGGAAGACGACGTGTGTACCCTGGGATTTGTGACGGGCTCTTAGTAGGCATGTGTTCTGTTTGCATGTAAAATCAGGTGTGTGGTTAACATTAGTTTTGTTCATCGTCGACGTAAAATTAGTCAACAGGTGCTTTTGCGCCACGTCGTAATTGCCGTAACGATTCTGAAGAACTGTGAACGAGTTCTTTGTAGAAGTTGTAATTACAACATGAAAACTAGCAATTTTCTGAGAGCTATAACTTGTACCACGTGGCCGCTGCAGATTTAAAGGGAGTTCAGCCAAAACCATTTACTCATCCACAAGTTGTTCCAGACCTGTATGAGTTTCTTTGTTTTGCTGAACACAAAAGATATATTGAGGAATGCTTGTAACCAAACAGTTGTGGGACTCAACGATTACCCACATTCTTTAAAATATCTTTCTTTGCGTTCAGCTGAATGAATGCACCGGTGTGTTTTTTTACTTGAAGTGTGCAGACCAATCGGTGAAAGACATCAACGTACCTTAATGGGATGACGTATGACTTAATGGGACAGTCAAAGTATTAAACTGTAGAGTTTTACCTGTTTTGAATCCATTCAACCGATCTCCGGTTCTGGTGGTGCCACTCTTAGCATAGCTTAGCATACATCATTGAAGTGCACAAGACCATTAGCGTTTGTAAAAAAAAAAAAATGAAAGTGTTTCGATATTTTTCTTATTTAAAATTTGACTCTTCTGTTGTTACATCGGGCACTAAGACAGACGGAAAATGTAAAGTTGCGATTTTCTAGGCTGATATGACCAGGAACTATCCTCTCATTCCTGCGTAATAATCAAGACACTTCACTGCCGTACCACGAGTGCAGCAGGCGCGATGACTACACAAACTTGGTCCCGGTCACGTTGGAAGCTGGGCACTGTTTCAGGCGCTGCGTCATAACATCACGCCTGCTGCACTCGTGTTACGACAGTGAAGCGTCTTGATTATTACGCAGGAATGAGAATATAGTTCCCTGCGTATCAGCCTAGAAAAATCGCAATTGTACATTTTCCAACTGTCTTAGTGCACGATGTAACTATAGAAGAGTGAAGTTTTAAATAGGAAAAATATGGAAACACTTTGGTCATTTTTGGGGGAGAAATGCTCATGGTCTTGTGCACTTCAATGATGTATGCTAAGCTATGCTGAAAGCGGTACCGCCAGAACCGGAGATCGGCCGGATGGATGCAGAAAAGGTAAAACTCATCAGTTTAAATCTGGGGGAGTTGAGCCTATTTCCAAAAAAAAGTAGAGTATCCCTTTAATGCCGTTAAATAGCTCAAACTAGAAAATGACAAAAGCAGGCCTATCTGTCTTTATGTAAGTAAGTTTCTTAGAAAAGTGGGTAAATGAAGATCGCAATCGCTGTGTAGTCAGCGTCATCAAAATATGCCTGTAACTGTTCTGTGTCTTATTTTTTTCCCTGCAGCATCAGCAATGATTCACAAAACTAGCAGGAATTTATATAAAGAAATCAGTTTGATGACATGATTCAAATTTGATTTGTTTGATTTCATGTTGACTTTATCACACAGGTGATAAAGAAGGTGTATCAATTAAGGTGATCTCCTGTGTCTGTTTAAAGTGGACCTCAGGGTTTGAAACGTTGCCTTTTAGAAAGTTCCTTTGGAGCAGTAATTTTCAGTGTGCGGTGTGAGAGGGGCCAGCGGCTAGAGCGGCAAAATTCAATGTGCGCTTCTTTTACCGATATATTTAGCGATGTCTTGCTCGTGCCCGTAGCAAGACGCCTGTCAAGTTTGAAATCCATCGGACTATGCCTTTAACCATCATGAAGTATAAAACTATGGTAGTTGAATAAGATTTTGAATATAGTGCAGGGCAGCTGTGGAAGAGC